ACTCATAATTATAAGTAAGCTTTAAATAGTACTTTGCGTCAAACTCTGTATATTAATAATAGTTACAATTACTTTAGTATTTGGATGCTTTAATTGTTAGTTTATTTAGCAATAATTTCTTAATATTCTATTTATTTTAAATCTTGGTTTACATAAAATTAAATTTATCACTTTAAGAGATTTTTATCATGTTTTAATAAAAATAGTAATAAAATATTCAAATTAATAAATTGTTTATTATTTGTAAATAAACCCAAAGATTATTATCTGTTTTTATATACAGATTGAAAAGTGAAAGTTAAATAAAATATTATTAATAATTCCTAATATTTGTTTTCATTTTAAACATATTTGACAAAATATTTTTTTAAAGAATTTAGTTGTAACTTATTTTATTAGCAATAAAATGTTTTATAAAAACATTAATTAAAATTTGTTGATTTAAGTGGCTTTAAGCTTGTTTTCTTTGAAACAAATTATAGGTTTTACACAATATTGTATTTACTAAATAAGAATAATTACATTTTGTAGAAACATTATCGTTTATTATTGTATTTTTATTGACTATTTTTGTAAACTAATCACATAAATTATTTTTCAAAGAAATCGTCTTAAATCATATGTAAATATATTAAACAAAAGCATAAAAATGACAATTTCTAAAAACAACACAAATTGGTATAAATTTTGAGTTTAAATTTTGCAGATTTAATGTTTGTGTTTTGACACAAAACTTTTAAGAGATTATTAGATAATACAAAAAGTGTGTTTAGGGCTAATATGCGTGTTGTGCCGATTGAGTACTGTTTTGGGCCTTTTTTGGCTAAAATAAGACGTGAAATACAACTGAAAGGAAGGATAAGTGAAATACGAGTTGAGATGAAAGAGTGTATCGATTGTAAGCCGAAGACAAAATCGAGAACTACTGTAGGCGTAGACTTGAGAGCCAATCATTGGTAAGTATTGTGAGTTTGAGACACATTTCATTAAAATATTGTGCAGTTCTTCCCAGAAGTGCTATTTGTCGTCATATTAGGAGCTAATTGTGTTAACGGGATATTTAGTCCATTGTGTAATGTTGTTATGCATACATACCGTACAAACACATACAGACATGAACTGGTTTGCAGTGTAGAGAGTGAACAGTGGATGAATGGATGTATTTCTGGATTGGTTGAAATGAGATGAAGAACTGTCACTCTCTGTTAGACGTAAACCAAATTTTATCATTTTTGCGCAAAACCTATTGAAAAATGCATACGAATTGTTGAGTGAATTTGATTTATATATGAATTTTGTGCAAATAAATTGAAAAGTTTTTTTCATCTGTGAATCTAAACTCAATGGATGTGCGCTTACATTAAGAATCAATACATGTATGAAAAGACAGCACTTATTCTAAATAAATCAAATGATGATAACTTTTTCGGAGTTTACAAATGTTTCTGTTGACAACCAAACAACCAATTTCTCACTCACTGTCTGTGCCTTTTATATTCACTTTATATAAACTCATTGCCCATCACATCAACAAAAACTTTTCAATTCAAAAACTATAATAAAAAACATGTTATTTCATCGCTTTTAAGCCATTCAACGATTCATAAAGAATGAGACAATTCTATACATTGAAAGAGATATTGTGTTCTCTATATTACTTGTATTGAATTGGAGTCTCAACTCATAAATTGTGGTCAATCTTCTTGAATCCATTGAACACCAAAGCAATGATGTCTCCGAGTGTGGAATCAAATGATATCATTAACATTAATATAAACACAATTAACTCAAACCCATCATTAAAAAAGCAAGTGTTGTGTAACTCAGAGGACGGTCTTTCGCTGAAGAGCAGTCACGCCATCACAACCCGCCCTTCAGTCTTCTGTATCGAACAACTCCTTAATAATGGCAAACATGTGAGGAATAGCAGTAGTCATACCATTCATGGCATCACAACAAACCCATATCAAGACAACTCGACAAATGAGTCTCAACTCATTTCAAGTAATCATTTTCTTTCATTTCTTCTAATTATTCTCACAATTTTAAACTTATGTTTTTTGACTTTAAAATTCTTTACAATGTATATAAATTACTTTATTTAAGATCCGTTTAAATATTCTTAAGCTAAAAAAGGCAATATTTGTTAGTAATTATTATTGGTTTTTGTGAAATTAGAAAATGAATATCATGTACATGAGAAAGACAAAGGAAATGATTCAGGGTCAGACAACAATGAAGACGACACCGAAGACATGGATAAATGCAATGATATGGAGAGACCGCGAAAGATACGGAGAAGTCGGACCACTTTCACTACATATCAATTGCATCAATTGGAGAGAGCCTTTGAAAAAGTAATTTATTTCATGTTATAGTTGAGGCAAATTCTCATTAATTCTCATTTATTAGACTCAATATCCCGATGTCTTTACCCGAGAAGAGTTGGCTCTTAGGCTAGACTTGAGTGAAGCGCGAGTTCAGGTTTGTTCATGACTTTCATTATTAAATATTTTTATTAATATACTATAATTGACAGAATCTAATAAATTATTAGCAAAGAGTAACTTGTTGTGTAAACTTAATTTATAACATGATGATTATTTGTTATTATATTAGATTGTCTAATTATACAAATATTAGCTCTTAAGGGTCGTAAGGGAAGGATTTATTGGGAATATTTCTCTTAACATGACTACACTCTATAAATTCGTTGTTTTGTTGCAATTAGTTTTCAAAAGTTAAACAATAAGTTATAATAAAATAAATCATTAGAAAGTATTAGTTATATATTTTATTTTGAATTATAAGTATTTATGCAATTTTCATATACAGAATACAATATATTAATATATAGAAAATGTTTACTCGAGTTATAGTTTCAAGATTTAAATAGCATTTATTCGTTAGTTCTCTATATTTAAAGGGGAAAAAAGTTATAAAATTGTTTTTCTAAATGTATAAAAACATTGCAATTGAAACGAATGTAGAGATGTATTGCTTCTGCCAATTAGTGATGCGATTTTAAGCCTCTTTCCGATATAGTAATGCCTAATATGTTGTAAAAATTGTGATTCCCGTCGTCTGTACGGCTAAGTGAGTCGTTTTGAAATCTTTT